ACCCAGAAAGAACAGAAGGACCAAATGGCCAGCGATTATCAAGGATGGTAAATTTGTTTGCCGCAGGTGTTTTCGGCAATTTGATAGTCCCAAGTCCCTTGGAGGTCATTTGTCCAAGCGTGCAATTTGCAAACCGTATGGAGAGTCAGAACTGAACACAGACTTGCCAAGATCGTTTCTTGACCTACTCAATTCAGAGCAAACAGTTAGCACCACTCAGCCACAGATGTCTTATATTCCTGCTCCTGTGTATCAGGAGAAGCCTCACCAGTCCGTAACAAGTGCTTCAGCTGCAGACAAAGATTACTCCACTACTAATTATCCACAAGATAACTTGCCAACATATGAGAACAGTGACTCAAGTGATGACATTCTGAAACAAATCATGGCTGAGTCCAACATGTCTGATCTTTTTGTGCACACACCTTCATCCCAAACATTATTCCAAAACCCTTGTGTTCCATATGGACCCGGTGAGCGTTTACCAGGAAGCTCTGTAATACAGCATACAGAAAATGTCCAGATGAAGCGTGAAGATAACTCATACAGTACAGCCCATTATCCTCAACCAAGTGTTGATACATTTGCTGGAAGTGAATTCCCTGACCCACTTCTTTCTCAAATTCTCACAGAAAACCCTCCCACTGCTGTTCCAGGCAGTGCTCCCACTAACCACATGACTCCTGGGGAAATCCATGGCGAAGGGTATCACTCTGAGGCAACTATCCAGGTACCAGATGCAGATTCAAACTCAGTCACGCAAACACTGTTACCTGATAGTCAACTCAGTCCAGCAACAAGTGGGAAGCAGGCTGAGATGCAAAGGAAGACCACTGAGCAAGACATCAAAAAGAGACTGCGCGAGCAGATTTTGGCTGGCGACTTTCAACGCAGAAACAGCATGTGTCATTCTGGCAACACGGACCCTAAAGCCAGTCCAATGTGTTTTGGCCCAACATTTGGTCTTTCCAATAATTCTGGATTTCATCGATTGTCTCATGACCCCAAGATTGACTCATCTGGTCAAGGACAAGTCATTCAAGGGAATTCTGTAATTGTCCCAAGTACATCTGGCGAAATTGAGGGACTTCTTAACACACAAAGCTTTACTTGCTTCAGAGAGACTGCGACGCCACAGCAGGAGGTGCTGAGCCCAATAGGCATTATGGCAAATGATCCAGATTCTGAACCCTCTCAGTTAACAGCCAGACAGCAACAGAGTATGACAGAAATTCAATCTGCGTTTGAAAAGCTCGACTTGGTCAGAGAAAATGCTGATAGGATGCTCATGTCTATTCAACAAAATAGCACTCCTCCTAACAATCAGACTGCATCTGTGCAAGCTGAACCACCACGTAGCTCATTACCCCAAGTGTTTGTCAAACCATATGTTTGTGACAACTGCGCATTTAGCACTGTATCCACTGAGTCACTTTGGAAACACCTCTCTAAAACACACAACTACACACTTGAGATGGTGAATGTAGTTAAAAAAAGGTACGGCCAGTATGCTCCTTTTAAGTGTCAGAAATGTCATAAGTCATTCACTCGCAACTCAAACCTTCGCACTCACTACCTGTCAGTTCACAAGTTATCAGCTAAAGAAATCGCAGATCTGGATTTGAAGCGCAGGCTGGCCAAAGATGCTGCTGCTCAAAACCAGCTTGCTGGTGTAAACCAGGCTCAAGCAGCTCAAACCACAGCAGCTCCTCATTCATCAGTGGAGAATCGAACACATCTGTATTCGTCCCAAGATGCAATGAAGCATGAGTACCCACCACAGGCATTTGTACCATGTACTAACATGGACATAGCTGAACGTAAAAGTCAAGACGACAATCGCTCTACAGTCATTCATCCTTTGCAGGCAGCTCCCATGCACAATCAAGCAATGACTCCACCAGTACAGGCCCAGACTTCTACGACCGCCTTTCAGTCAGTACAAGCAGGGATGGCAGCTGGACAGTGGTCACATGAACAGCAAAAGAACTTGCCCAAGTTGCCCACTCAGTGTTCACTGACTCATAAAGTGGGAGTCCATTTGCCTAGAGTGTCAGTTCTTCTTACCCAGGCTCTGTGTGCTCCACCTCAGACTAAAGCGTCTCCGTCCCTTGACAAACAGGCTGCTTTCAATAAGCAGGCAATCATTCAGCCAAGTGTCGACATTACCAAGAAGTCGAAAGACAAGAAACCCAAATTAGGTGACGCTATGAGTCCATACAGACCGTATCGCTGCGTCCATCAAGGCTGTGTGGCAGCATTTACCATCCAGCACAATCTGATCCTCCACTACAGAGCTGTTCACCAGTCTGCTTTGTCAGCACTGGAGGTGAACAAAGAGCAAGACCAGAGCGAGGGAGTGGATGACATAATGGACCACGATGAGGAGGAGCCAGAGCCAGAGTTTCCTCAAATTTCTGAATTCAGATGCCAAGTCAAAGACTGCTGCTGTGTTTTCCAAGAAGTCCCCAGCCTTTTCCAGCATTATCTTCAGCTGCATGAATTCAGTCTCAATAAGGTTGGCGATCTCTTGGGCGGCATCAAACTCGGCAAGTTTGCGTGTGGCCACCAAGAATGTACAGAATCCTTCACTGCTTTCTGGAAGTATATAGGACACGTTAAAGAAATGCATAAAGATATAAAACTGGCTAAACCCGAACAATTAAATGGTACATTTAAGTGTGAAATTGAAGGCTGTGACCGTTCCTACGCCACAAAGTCAAACCTACTCAGACACGTCATGAAAAAGCATCAGGACCTTTACCAGCCTAAACTAAAGCATCAACAAATAAAAGAAGAAGGGGCAAAACAGAACTCAAAGACTTTGCATTACCAAATTACAAAGACAAGCAATGGAAAAGAAAACATAGAGAGCAATAAAAAGATCCTCCCGAGGGAAAGTGACACCAAGCGAGTTGGCAAATCCAAGATCAATCACTGGACTAAATATGGAAAACCCTCATTGAAATCTAAAGTGGAGGCATCCGCATTGTGCACTAAGAAATTTCCTCTACAATACCCCTGTATGATTAAAGGTTGCGATTCAGTCATGAATTCAGAGCGGAGCATACTGAAACATTACATGGGACACGGATTGTCCGAAAAATACTTAGAACAGCAGAGGAGCTGTTTCATATTCTGCAAAAAGGTCCCAAGGCAGAAGTGTCGTCCCATCAGGAGCGATGACTCTAAATCAGACAACACCTCAGACCTGTCCGACAACGAGGTGACTGCAGATCCTGACCCGGACGGGGGGGATTACGAACATTCAAAACCTGTCCTGCGCAGAAGGACCACAACAGGAGTCCCAGTTGCCTTGTTCGACAGCAAATTGTCAAATGACGAAAGCTCTGATGGCTCTGTGGCACTCAAACGCAAGCGAGGACGTCCGCGAAAACTCGAAAAAATAGTGAAACCCAAGAAAATACCACGTACGACAAAGTCGGATGAGGGTTACAGCAAAGACAAAGGATCAGACGCCTTATGCCCTGCAGTAGTGCAGGAGGAGAAGACTGAGCAAAGCGCCCCGCTTGCCTCGTTTAAGCCAATGGGATTTGAAATGTCTTTCTTAAAATTCCTGGAACAGTCAAACAAATCCGAACACACCATGATAAGCAAGGTTCCCGTGATAGAACGGTGTAAGATTCCACCAAACCTGTATATCAGAGACACGTGTGTCAGGTTCAGGAACCGTCAGAATTTGAAATCCCTCAGTAATGTCAGATTAAATCTAGATGCGGCCTTTTCAGGTGTCTCTAACCTTATGTTGAAACAACTGCAGGACATGCAGCCTGCAGTGGTGTTGGAGAAATATGACTAGTGCTTTTTTGTTGTTTTTTTGTTATTGTTTTTTTTTAAAGCAGAATCTCAGGACTTGAATGAGTAAAATCTGCTGCAGACTGGTGCCCTACATACAAAATGTTTTTTACACCAACTTGTTAAAAAAAAAAAAAGTTGTTCTGAGTTATACAGTAATATCTGTACAATTTTTGTCTTTTTTATAGAGAAATGTAAAGCATGTTTTTAAATATGGACAATAAATTCAAAAAGAAAATTTTGCTCAAAGATAAATTATGGCATCAGCTTGTGGTGTCCTAATTATCCCTGTGGGACTTGGAGACAAATGGACGAAGAAAGTGATTGTAATGTGTGTAGTTTGTGAAGATGTTGATTATTGTGTGTTGTGTATATAGTTTGAAATCACCCACTGCCACCAGCAGTCTTACTATTAAACAGTTTTTTGTACGACTAGTTTGACTTGTGTTTTTTAGAGAACTCTTCAGTTTCCTTTTAAGGTGCTAAGGCCGGAGCTGGTGCGTACACACAGAATGGAAAATTATGGTGTGAAAATTTTTGATAAAACAAATTTCATATTACATGCTCGATGTTTGTTTTTGGGGTTTTTTTAGGTCATTTTGATAGTTTCCTCTTGTGGGTTTAGTCCACATGCTTTATGTAGAAAAAAGGAGTTCTCCCTCCTTTGTTTTCATGAAAGACGTCAGAATCAATCCACACAAATAAAAAAAAAAAAGGTACTTTTATGTGTAATCATGTAGAACATCCTATTAGCAAAGTTAGCAAAATCACAATTTTGCATTTTTCTGAATGTTTAAAGAAAATACTACTGTAATGTATATACAGGGCAAGGCCCAATGTATATGAGATGGGGCAAAAGATTTTGTGCCTAAACTCATCACAGTAAAATCCCATTGTTTAAGGTAATCACAAATTGACATGTCCTTAAAAGGGATAGCATTATATCCCTTTAACTATTCATTTAAATAAATGAATGGTTATCACACTGTTTTAAAGTTTGACAGACTCTGATCAGGATGAGACAAGTGCAGCGAAGTGCTTGAAGAGATCCTTTAACAGCAGTGTTGTTAACGCTCACTTGGGTTTTAGTTTCAAAACCTGTGCAGATTTCGCATGGCCAACCTTCTCAGGCTAACCAATCAAAACAGCAGCTCGTAGCAGAGAAGCAAGAAAATCACACTTGGTTCCATGTCTGTATATGAATTTATTATTGCACTTGACATGTTCATAAAATGCTATTGCATAAAATAAATGATGTAAAATGTAAGGCAACAATTCTAGACAAACTGCACCAATAAATCTTTAGTGATTCACTAGTATGCCAACTAATCCCAAATGTCTTGCTTATTTAATGAAAATATTTTTCTTTCCAATGCATCATACACATATTTCAATCAGTGCTAAATATTGCTAAAGACAATATTAGTAGAAGTCAGTTTAGCCTCTCATAGATACCATTCACAACAAAGATGGAACAAACTGTCAGTTTCAGAATAAACAGTTTTGGTTCATGTGAGATATTATCAGATACAGTATAACTACAACAAGTTATGTCGAGATTGGCATGCTGTTGTGTCTTTTTTTTTTTTTTCAGCCACTTGGTCACCGATCAGAATTATAACTTGACTAAAAGTATGAAATAAAAATATTAACAAAATCAAGCAAGATATGGTGAACCAACAACATTCCCCAGACTCAGTTTGATACATGTGTGGGTATGTACAGTGGAGACACATTTACTGTACAGTTTACTTGTGTCTGTGGATAGAATGGAAAAGAAAAAAACACCTTTCCATATATACAATAGATGTACTATATAATATACTTTATATACAATTAATTGGTAGGGCTAGTAACGGAAATCTAGAGAAGAGTGGAAGTACACTGAAAGCAGCATTTGGATTGAAGTAAAAAGTCAGGCAAATTTTCAAAAGAAATTCAAAATGAATTAGCAGAAGCCAATAGATGACACCTTTCAGTTTGCTGTTGAACTGTCTTTTTTTTCTTGCTTAGTAAGGTTCCTAACTGAGTGAAATTATCTGCAGTGCAAGCTCAAGAGCAAGTCAGACTCTCTACATGCTTCAGTGCTTCCTTTCTTATCTCTTTGAGTGTAGGACACCCTGGACCTTCCTTTACAAAAGGAAGATAATACGTACCATCCCACAATTCCCTACAGCCACAAGCTTCAAAGTAACGCACCAACTGGTCGTTCACAAAAACAAATGATCAAAGCGAAGTTAAAGTTGCAGCTCAATTTGTATTAGATATCAGATATATATTTTCACTGCAGTAGTATCCTGTATATTATCTGTATGTTTTATACTTATGTTTCTGTGTAGACTATTTTTGTCCATATTTATATAGTCCAGCACAAAGTATCTACGATGTGATTTTTCTTACTCTATATTTTGAATATTGTAGTTTCAGTGCAGTCAGATTCTTTTAGCACAGCAGGAAAACACAGAGGATGTCATATTTTTGGACTATTTGACTACAACTTTGCACTCTAACGTGGTTTAAGTCACCCAAAAAGCTGCACACACATTTCCTACGGTGCAGCTCGATAGCATGCCTGCTTGGTAAATACCACACCTTTCAAGCTTTCAACTTCCGAGCAAAAAAAACTGTTCCTCTAAAAAGAAAAAGTCATTTTCAACCTGTTAACATCGCTGACATCATCAGGGTTTTTTGTTTTTTTTTTACACTTGACACAGCTACCTCTTACACCCTGAGGACACTATAAAAGTCTTCTGCTAAATAGTGCTGTAAAACAACATTTAATTTGTGTCAATATCTGTAGTGTTTGGTCAGACTACTAAATGATATGACTCTTTTCTCAGTTTAGACCAAACTTAAATCTATGTAGCTGCTTTTTTTTAAATAGCCCAGGTTGTAAAAAGAGACACTAGTGACCAGCATCCATGTTAGTTCAGGTAAACAAAAGTTTCACTGTAGTTTCACAATGAGATGGGAACCAGAGCTGTGGGTCAGTCCCAGCCTTTCAGGACTGGACGGGCAGGTTTTCAGCAGCGGGTGCAGGCGCAGGTTCAGCCTCTATGCCACAGACCTCTGTGTTTGCTGTGGGCTCAGCTGTGGCAAACCTGTTGACAATGGAAACAGGTGGCTCAGCAGGCTTCTGTTTCACCGGGATGTACCGCTTGCTGAAACATTTCCACAGCTGCTTCCAAACAATGTACATGAGCTCCACGAAGTTCAAGGCGATGCACAGGATGGAGGTGCAGCCCATGATGTAGAGGAAGATCTTCTTCTCTGTGGCTTTGCCAATGAAACAGTCCACCGTGTTGGGGCACGGACTCTCGCTGCACTGCAGAAGTATGGGCACCTCAAAGCCGTTGTACAGGAAGTAGAAAGCAAGCAGGGAGCCGACTTCAAAGGCCGTCTTGAAGACCAGGCTGACGGTGTAGGTGCAGAAAAGACCTCCATCGATGCTCCCTTTGTCCTGGTACAGCTTTCGCTTGTGTTTGGCCTCCCGGTGCTCCCTGTAGGCCACATGCAGGGCTACCAACAGGGAAGGGGTGGACACCATGATGAGCTGCAGAGCCCACAGACGCACCTGGGAGATGGGGAAGAAGTGGTCGAAGCAGGCGTTCTCACAGCCGGGCTGCTGCGTGTTGCACACAAAATCCTTCTGTTCGTCTTTCCACACCTGCTCAGCCGCTGCCACGTACACCAAGATCCTGAAGAGAAAGACCACAGACAGCCAGATGCGGCCAATCACAGTGGAGTACTTGTTCACCCCACTCAGGACGTTCTCCAAAAAACCCCAGTTCATCTTCTTCTGATGCCCTGTCAGGGAATAAAGCAACAATTAGCTGAATTATAGCACCACATGAGCTGTACATCTAGGGCAATCGCATGCTTCTTGTTTCCAGTGATTGCACTCCATAATAAAAATAACTCATTATGATTTGCAGAGACATTTAAAGCAAATTGATTCCCCTCTTGGACATTTTCTTCTTAGCTGCAGAAAACTTCCTCTGTTCAGGTGATGACACCTGCAGTATGTGTTCAGCATGTTCGCAGTCTGAAGACTGACAGTTGGACTGTTCTATCCACTGATAACAGCTTTGCACACTCTGCATTCACTCCATCAGCTTCATGAGGTGCTTTTCTAACATTCTTGAAGGAGTTTCCACATATACAGAGCACTTGTCAATTGCTTTTTTTTCTTTTTCACTATGCAATCCAACTCATCCCAGACAATCTCCGTTAGTTTTAAGTCAGGTGACAGTGGATGCCATCTGATTTAGCACTCTATCACTCTGCTTCTTGGTCAAACAACCCTTACAGAGTCTGGAGGTGTGCTTTGGCTCAATGTCCTGCTAAAAAAAAAGACGTATGTACCAGTTCTACCTTCTGATTAGGGGAACAGGCTACAGCTCAGCTTCAAAATAACCTTCCCTAATTTGTGTATAAATAGGAAACAAAGGAGTGGTCTAAATGTTAGTTCAACTGTAGTCACAATTTTGTTCAACAAGGTGATTCATAGCATAAGATAAGATCCAATATGATAAGATATTCTACGTCAGGGATCATACAAAAACGTAAATCTTAAAGGACCTCTGGACTAGCTACCATCTAAACTGCCCATTTATCATTTCTACCAGCTGATAAAGCCGGCGATCACCAGCCCCAGGGGTCCTCCTCACGAGAGTCAGCTGTATCATAGCTTTTGATGTTACTCTGCACTTGTTACAGAAATTTTCTGGACGAACTCACGTCCTAGAGTAGTGATGATGATGGTGTGTTGCTTCGTTTTACTTAGTTGGCCAGTTTTTGCAGTTTACTACAGTAGTTAAATAGAGCTATTTGCTGGATACCAACGCAACCTCGACAAGAGCTTTCACCAGTTAAGCCTTCGCTCTGCTCACCTGGTAACTGAAAACGACCTCAAGGGTCATCGTCATGAAGATATTACCAATAATGTGCAAAGCTGTGATCAAGGCAAACAGTTACAGAATCCAAAATATGAATCTTCAGTTTTGTTCTGTTATGTGGGAAACAGTAAAACATCCTTTCCAACATGGATGAGTACTGGAGCACATTTGCAAATATTCAAATGATCACAAAGCTTCGCTCAAGCTGTTGCCAGCTTCGTTCAGCTGGTTATTCCGCCTTGATGACTGACTGATTGTTGATCTGCACTTCCACACAAATTTACAGAGTCACAGATTCTGCTCAGGGCTATGTTGAGGCTAAAACTGGTGTGTCAGGAGACATTGCAAATGGAAAATGTTTGGTATCAGTCTTTGTCCTACTTTACGGCCCTTTACAAACATGGTGCCTTTATAGTATGTAAATGAGCTTACAAATTCTAAATCTGTGACTGGAATCTGATCTGTGATAACATTCTGTGACTGTAGAGGATTATGAACAAAAAAAGAGGGTGGTTAGTGCTGTACAGACAGACGTGTACACTGTATCAGATATTGGGATCATATCTAAAGATCAGGGGTGCATCTTTTGTTTTAAAAAAAAAATCTAACAATTGTTATCAAAATAAATTGTATGATGCAATTCTTGTTGAAAAGAAGAGTCTTTATCACGTCACAGAATTAAATGATTTTCAGTATTTGTTGCATTTGACATGTTGATTTTGTGACCTTAACTGTAAATACACATTACTCTGTATTTATACCAATAAATTATACCAGAGTAAAAAATAAAATAGCCTTCCACATTTCTCTTGCGAGTTCTTCACTCTTTTTTTGTCACACAAAGATAGCAGATGATGTATACTATTCTTATGGTAGCCTATAACTGTACACAGGATACCAAATTTGCTGATGAGACAGGTAAGCCATTATATTTCTCAGGATTCCTGTCAAACAGAAATGAAAGCAGAGAACTTACCTTGGGTTATCTTCTGTAGCAGCAGGTGGTGTCGGGTCTGTGTCCTCCACTGCCTGCACACCTGTACAGTACAGCTCAGTGCCGCACCTTATCTGAGCCTCATAACAAGCATCGGTGCGATATCAGCTCCATCGCACGCTTTCCATTTGTGATCAACAGTTTACCATGAAATCCTGTGACTAGCAACCTTCCTCTAAATCACCTGTTGGGTATGTTAATGAAGTGAAGCGTAGGTGTGTGTGCGTTAGTGTGTGTACACAGACATCACCATGGAGCTCTCTAATGCAAATAATATGTGCTTCCCGTCCTGTTCAGGCTCAGTGTGGGGGAGGAGAGCTCACACAGCATCAAGTGTGTTTTATTTCCTCCTTCTCCCACCTGCCTGGACTCACACATGGAACTTTGATGAGACTAGAATCATGTTACAGTGCTGATGAATAAGTAAGAACTGTGGTGCCTGTGTCATCCCACTGCCTGTGTCTCTTATTTGTCAGCTGTTGTTTTTTTCTGGTTGGTTGATTGTTTGTTTGTTTGTTTGTTTATGTATTTATTTATTTAACTACAACCCCTTGCAATAGATGCACAATAGGAAACATGGATCATTGGGCCCCTAGTGACTCCATTATACAGTAAATATCCAACCAGTATCTCTAAAGCTAATGTGAGGAATTCATGACAGAATTCAACACTCATCTCTGATGAGCAGTGTGTTTTCATTATTTTGACAAGAGATAACAATTACTGTTTTAAACATGTGTTCAAGCCACACATCACGTTTCCATCATGATTATTTTGTTTGAAATCTCAAACACAAAGGGCTGCAAGGTGGTGCAGTTGGTTAGCACTGTTGCCTTGCAGCAAGAAGGTTGTCGGTTCGCGTCCCGGTGGGGGCACCAGAATCTTTCTGCATGGAGTTTGCATGTTCTCCCCGTGCAGTGTGGATTCTCTCCGGCTTCCTCCCACAAGGTCCAAAAACATGTTGAGATTAATTGGTAATTCTAAATTGTCCGTAGGTGTGAATGTGAGTGTGCTTGGTTGTCTGTCTCTAAGTGTAGCCCTGTGATAGACTGGCGACCTGTCCTGGGATAGGCTCCTGCCCCCCGTAACCCTAGTGAGGATTAAGCAGTGTACAGATAATGGATGGATGAATCACAAACACAAGACCCTCTGAAGACTTTTAGTTGTCAAACAATGCACAGTGGGGAGAATCTTAGTATGTTTAATTTCTTTAAAAATGTATCTGAAAAAGATATTCCCAAGTATTCTTAAAATAAAAAAATATAAATTTCATGTTAAATTAGCTTAGAACAGTGGTGTCGAACTCCGGTCCTTGAGGGCTGCAATCCTGCAAGTTTTAGATGTTTCCTTCTTCCAACACACCTGATTCAAATGATCAGGAT